GAAGTATGTTTGTATAATGTATATATATTGAATCATACATCCAAACTAAGGACGAATATAAGTATACATGTTTTCTCTTTTTTCTTTACTTTATACAATTTCTTCTGCACTGCATAAATATAGTAATTATACGATTCACCAAACAACGATTCATCGGTAATTAACAAATAAATGTTTTTTCCTTTCTCTTTACTTTATACAATTTCTTCTGCATTGTATAAATATACTTATTATACAATTCATCAAACAACGATTCATCCATAACAAACTACAATTTTACTTCGGAAAGCAATTTTGAAAAGTTTGTCATCACATAAAATTAAGAAAATTTGTTATATGTGAAAGTTGTCCAACATTATACTCCAATGGACCTCTATCAAAAGCCCACTACATGTATATTAGCCACTTTGATTAGTTCTCTCAGTATATATACAAGTTTGCGCGTATACCCCATATTAGTGAATAAAAAAGTAAATATTTAAATGTTTTATAAGTATTACTCCCTCCGTTTCACAAAGAATGGTTTAGTTTGACTTGACATGGAGTTTAAGAAAATAAAGAAGACTTTAGATCATGTAATTCTAAATTAAAGTTATGTCAAATGTATATAATTGTCCTTTAATCTTGTGGCCTTAAACATGCCACGTGAAAATTGTTACCAAAAAAAGAAAGATATCATTCTTTTTGAAACAGACGAAAAAAAAGAATGTCATTCTTTTTTAAATGGAGAGAATATAAATTTACATGGTCGAGTAATTTATTTTTTGCGTTTTTCAGTACAATTATTTATTTCCTCGTGAAATAGAAGATATATAGAGAAAGTATTCTCTTTAGTTTTGTCAAGTGTGTGGATAATTAGAAGAATGTTATATACTCGTTTCTGCTTACAATATTTTCATAAGGAATTATAGTTATGTTACCTATAAATAGTAAAAGGAAATTGCTCAAATATACCACTGAACTTTGAGAAAAGGTTGATTGATGTCATCTGTTAAAAGTGTGACTCATTTATGTCATTTTCATTTGAGAAAAAAGCTGATCTATGCCATAATTTGTTAATTGAAATAACATAGATGAGTCAAACTTTAAACGAATGGTATATATGAGCCTTTACTCAAAGTTTGGTGATATAATTGAGCCTTTTCCTTTTAAAAAAAATAATTTAATTAATGATCTGACCGAATCATAATTTGACTTGATCATGTGTAAAAATGATTTTGCAAAACAAAACTTTTTTCAATTAGTAAAATAATGGCACAAATAGAGATATCAAAATAGGTTGACCCAACCCAACCCTAAGGGGTTAGAGAGTTAAATGTGTTGGGACGGACTAACCCTTTTAATTGAAGGGCCTATAAAATAGTAGCCCAACTCAGCCTTAAGCAGACCACAAACGGGTTGACCCTTCAATCAACAAATGAACAATATTACTTTCTTAGAAAGAATATTTAAGAGTATCGAACATTGTCGTTGATGAACACGACGTCTATATGTACAAATTTCATTTATGAATCACACACTTCGATGAATACTTACAAAAATACAACTTTGGTGAATACATACAAAAATACATAATAGTCAACATAACATTTAGCAAAAAAACGTTGACCATTCCAGCATTTTTCTCACAAAAAACTAGCTAGTTTAAAAGACTTGATTTTTAAAAATATTTAATAATAAAAACTTTACTAATAAAACAATACTAGAAATATATATATAAAAAATATTTTTTAAATATCATAGCCCACGGGTTGTGGCCGAAATTTTTCATGGACGTCCATTGAGAACTTAGCACTGGACCCAATTCGTTCCGCAGGAAAAAGGGTGCATTTTCAAGTTCAAAAGAGCTCCAAAGCAGGTAAATACAGATTTTACCGATTTTCGTGCGCTATAGTCCATGAAACTTTTGTGACTTGGAATTTTCGAAATGAAATGGCCGAAATTTTTCATGGACGTCTGTTAAGACCTTAACAATGGATGAACCTACCTTGTCTACTTATGTCTTTATTTTATATCTTTAGACTTTTGTAAGGGCTATGTCCCAAAGTTTGTATTAAAGAGAATTAAGTCTAATGTAATTCTATGTTATAGATGGTTTGAGACATAACGTCATAGATATTCTTTCATTTTTATAAAAGACTTCGGTTATTAAAAGAAAGTTTTAATTTTCTGCTATTTTAATATGCTTTAATGTTTATGATATACTAAGGATTTGTATGAAATCTATGAGAGGTCGAATACGCCGTGTTACGACTAGAGGTGCTCTCGGGTCATGATAAGTTTTAAAGGACGTCCATGAAAATTTTGGCCATTTCATTTCGGAAATTCTGGGTCACAAAAATTTCATTGATTATAGCACACGAAAATCGGTAAAATCTGTTGTTACATGCATTCTCGTTTAAACTTGAAAATGCGTCCGTGTTCCTCACGAGACGAGTTGAGTCTATTTCTAAGGTCTTAAAGGACATCCACGAAAATTTTTGACCATTTTGTTTTGAGAATTTTGGGTCAAAAAATTTCATGGACTATAGCACAAGAAAATCGACAAAATCTACGTTTACCTGCTTTGGGGTTTGTTCATACTTGAAAATGCGTCCGTTTTTCCCGCGGAACGAATTGGTCCTTTGCTAAGGTATTAACGGACATCCATGAAACATTTTGATCATTCCGTTTAGGGAATTTTAGGACACAAAAATTTCACGAACTATAGCACACGAAAATCGATAAAATTTGTATTTACCTGCTTTCGAGCTCGTTTGAACTTGAAAATGCATTCGTTTTCCCGCGGGACGAACTGAGTCCATTGCTAAGGTATTGACGGACGTCCATTAAAAATTATGATCATTTAGTTTTTGGAATTTTGAATCACAAAAACTCCATGGACTATTGGACACGAAAATCAGCAAAATCTGTATTTACCTGCTTTGGGGCTCGTTTGAACTTGAAAGTGCATCCATTTTCCCTGTGGGTTGAACTGGGTTCATTGCTAATGCCTTAACGGACGTCCATGAAAAATTTCATCCATTTTGTTTCGGGAATTCCAGGTCACAAAAATTCCATGGACTATAGAACATAGAAATCGGTAAAATCCGTGTTTACCTGCTTTGAGGCTCGTTTGAACTTGAAAATGCTCTCATTTTCTCCGCGGGACGAATTGAGTTCATTGTTAATGTCTTAACAGACGTCTATGACAAATTTCGATCATTTTCTTTTGAGAATTTCGGGTCACAAAAATTCCATATTCAATATCATACGAAAATCGATAAAATCAACATTTACCTGCATTGGGGTTCATCCAAACTTGAAAATGTGCATGTTTTTCCTGTGGGACGAATTTGGTACATTGTTAATGTCTTAATGGGCGTCTATGAAAATTTTTGGCCATTTCTTTTTGAAAATTTCAAATCATAAATTTTTCATGGACAATAGCACACAAAAATCGATAAAATCAATATTTACCTGTATTGTGACTCATTTGAACTTGAAAATGTGCACATTTTTTTCGCAGGATGAATCGAATCCATTACTAAGGTCTTTATGGATGTCTATGAAAAATTTTGGCCATGTTTTGAAAATTTCGGGTCACAAAAATTTCATTGACTAGCACATGAAAATCGGCAAAATTAACATTTACCTTCTTTGGGGCTCGTTTGAACTTGAAAATGCGTCTGTTTTCCCTGCAAAATGCACTTGGTCCATTTCTAAGGTCTTAACGGGTGTCCATGAAAAATTTCAGTCATTTTATTTCGGAAGTTTTGGGTCATGAAAATCGATAAAATCTGTGTTTACCTACTTTGAGGCTCGTTTGAACTTAAAAATGCTCCCGTTTTTTTCATGCGTGACGAACTGGATCCATCGCTAAGGTCATACGGATGTCCACGAAAAATTTCATCCATTTCGTTTTGGAAATTTTGGGTCACAAAAATTCCATGGACTATATCACATGAAAATCGGTAAAATCTGTGTTTACCTGCTTTGGGACTTGTTTGAACTTGAAAATGCGCCCATTTTTCCCGCGGAACAAACTGGGTCCATTGCTAAGGTCTTCACGTATGTGCATGAAAAATTTTGGTCATTTCATTTCATAATTTCGGGTCACAATATTTTGTGAACTTTAACACATAAAAATCAGCAAAATCTGTGTTTACCTGCTTTGGGGCTCGTTTGAAAATGCGCATGTTTTCCCTGCTGGGGGCGAACTAAGTTTATTTCTAAGGTCTTAATGGACGTCCATGAAAATTTTTGACCATTTCATTTCGGAAATTTCGGGTAACAAAATTTTCATAGACTATAGCACACGAAAATCAGTAAAATTTGCATTTACCTATTTTGGAGCTCGTTTGAACTTAAAAATGCGTCTGTTTTCTCCGTGGGATGCACTGGGTCCATTGTTAAGGTCTTATCGGACGTCCATGAAATTTTTTGATCATTTCATTTTGAAAATTTTCGGTCACAAAATTTTCATGGACTATATTACACGAAAATTAACAATACCTGCTTTGGACTCGTTTGAATTCGAAATTGCATCTGTTTTCCCCGCGGGATGAACTGGGTCCTGAGGCTTGAGGGTTGAGTCTATGAGGCTAGCAGGTCAAATGATACTGGGCTCAAAAGTTTCATTTCTAAATGGGACAATAAGCCTAGCGGGCCAAGTCCATTTAACAGCTCTAGGCATGAATGAGTCTTTTCTCAAACAGAATTTGCATAGATAAGCTAAAATTTTAATAAATAACATAACTACATTTTTTTTAAATTCGATACCATATTAAAAAAAAATTCTCTTAAATAAAAGACGAAATTTGCAGTCTTGACCATAATTTTGGATGAATTTAATTAAATTTGATCAATGTAAGTAAGTAAGTTTATTGTAAGCATTTTTCATTGTTCACCAATAAACAAAATAGTTAAGTAAATCCTTTTTCCAAAATTCAAAAGTGGGAAAGAAATTTAAGTAAGTTTATTGTTAGCATTTTTCATTGTAAGCAGTCTTGACCATAATTTTGGATGAATTTAATTAAATTTGATCAATGTAAGTAAGTTTATTGTAAGCATTTTTCTTTGTTCACCAATAAACAAAATAGTTAAGTAAATCCTTTTTCCAAAATTCAAAAGTGGAAAAGAAATTTAAGTAAGTTTTTGTAAGCATTTTTCATTGTTCACCAATAAACAAAATAGTTAAGTAAAATCTTTTTCCAAAATTCAAAGTGGCAAAGAAATTTACCCTTTTCAAAATTGGAAATAAACATGTGGCAAGTAATTAATGATTTTAGGTATTATAAATAGTCACAATATGAAACATTCTAATGTCAAAAAAAAAAAACTTTTCTTTACACAAAAAAACATGGCTAAAGCTTCAACCATTCTTTTGTATTTGGCCATTTTGTTGATCTTTTCATCTGGTTAGTCTATCACTTTTAAAATTTAAAATGAGTTTTCCTATGTTTTTACTACAACAACAACATTATATACAATAATATTAAACTTTTTGTAAAAATATATTTAAATTACTAATCTCTTTGCTTGTAAATATATTATTAATTCTTAGTCTATCTCTATTCAATTATTGTTTATATTTTTGTGCAAGGTGCTAACAATTCTATTATTTTTTTTGGTTGAATTATCAGATGTCATTTTGATGGGACAAGCATGTACTTTGGCATCAGAGTGTCCACAATGTAGGGTTGGAATTCCAGAATGTGCTGATGGTGTGTGTATATGTTGTGTTGGTCGAACATGTCAAGGTGATCAAGAAAACATTAATCTAGGTCAAATATTATGATCTTACAAGATTATTCTAATTAGTTATTAAAGCTTTTTAGAGCTTATTATATGTCAGTCCAAAATATGATTATTGAATATTAATAAAGATTATTATATTTTATCAAAAGAGTTGACTATTTATAAAATAGTTTCATATTTTAAAGTTTTGATTAGTATCTTTATAACTCACAATTATCATATTTCACTGTTACTGTCAATCTAACATTTATAATTGTCAATAATTAGTATTAAAAATATGCTTTCATCAAATACGTAATTATATATTAATCGTGATGGAGCTAGAATTTTCAATATGAGACCCTTCGTAAAGAGTTGGGGGAGGAGTACCTATAGTCTCTCTTTACTCTTATGAATAATTGGGCCTTGCCCGATTTAATCTAAAAAAGAAAAGAGTTAGGGAGTAGTACATACAGTCTCACAATGATTCGAGGAATATTTGGGCATTTTGAAGCCATTTTATAGGAATTAGACGATTTTTTCATTCTTTTTTTTCATTATTATGAAATGGCTTTTGGATAATTTTTTTGAAAAAACTTTACGAGATTCTCCTTGAGCAGTTGGGGAGCAGTATGTATAGTCGCACCATGACTTGCGGCATTTTTAGGCATTTAAGAGTCATTTTATATGAATTAGGACGTTTTTTTTTTCAATTTTTCGTGTGTTAGCTAGTGAATATTTGATTAAATGAATTTCAGGTGATACTTTTTAATAAACTTTACGAGCCCATCTGTAAAGAGTTGGAGAGCAAAATGTATAGTCTCACCATGATTCGAGACATTTTTTTGGATATTTAGTATCCAATTTATAGGATCTTTTTCAATTTTTCGTGCGTGTGAGCCCATGAATATTTGGTGAAATGACTTTTGAGAGATCTTTTAGAAAACTTTACAAGACCCTCCATAAGGAGTTGAGGAGTAGTATGTATAACTTCACCATGAACCAGAGCATTTTTTGGCAGTTAGGGCCACTTTAAAGAAATTAAATGATTTTTTTTCTCAATTTTTCGTGTGTGTTAGCCAATAAATATTTGATGAAATGAATTTTAGGCAATTTTTTTTAATAGAACTTTATGAGACCCTCTTTAAAGAGTTTGTGGAGCAGTATGTATAGTCGGACCATCGTCTGAGGAATTTTTTTGGTATTTAGGAGCCTTTTATAGGAATTAAGCAATTTTTTTTAATATTTCGCGTGTGTCAACCATGAATATTTGTATAAATGACTTCTTAGAGAAATTTGAAATACTTTTTTACAAGATCCAACGTATGGATTTGGGGGAACCATACGTATAGCCTGACCATGGTCCGTGACATTACCTACGAATATTTGGTGAAATTAATTTCAAGTGATTTTTTGGAAAAACTTCACAAGAGTTTTCGTAAGCGTAGGGGAAACGTACATATAGTTTCACCATGAGGCATTTTTGGGTATATAGAGGCTATTTTATAAGAATTAGGCGATTTTTTTAATTTTTTCTGTGTTAGTCCATGAATATTTGGTGAGACTTTATGGCGATTTTTTGAAAATATTTACGGGATCCTTTATAAGGAGTTGGGGGAGAGGTACGCATAGTCACACCATAACTCGAGGCATTTTTGGGTTTTTAGAAGCGATTTTATTGAAATTAGGCAAAAAAAATTCAATTTTGTAGGTGTGTTAGCCCATGATATATCTAATGAAAAAGTTTCGGGGCAATTTTTCAGCAAAAACTTTACGTGACCCTGCGTGAGGGTTGGGAGAGTAGTACGTGTAGCCTCATCATAATCCGAACATTTTTGGGCATTTAGGAGCCAATTGGGGAGTAGTACGTTAGTCCATGAATATTTGGTGAATTAACTTTCAGGTGATTTTTTTGAAAAAACTTTACAAGACCCTCTGTAAGAATTTTTGGGAACACTATTTGTAGCCTCACCGTGATCAAAACATTTTAGGGAATTTAAAAACTTTTTTTAGAAATTAGGCGATTTTTTTAAATTTTTATATGTGTTAACCTATGAATATTTGGTGAAATGACTTTCGAATAATATTTCATAAATTTTTGTATGAAACACTCGGTAAAGAGTTGAGGTAGCAGGACATATAGCCTCACCATAATGCAAGGTATTTTTAGGCATTTAGGATCCATTTTATAGAAATTATGTAATTTTTTCAATTTTCCTTGAATAAAGCCCATGAATATTCGGATATTTTTTTGTGAAAATGTTTATGTACCCCTTGTAAGGAGTTAAGGGATTAGTACGCATAACTTCATTCTGATCCGATTTATTTTGAGTATTTAAGAGCTAATTTATTGGAATTCATCGTTTTTCTTAATATTTTACTTGTGACACTATAAATATTTGGCGAAATGACTTCCATTCGCATTATTGAATGGTAGCCTATAAATATACTGCATGTGCAAGCACAAACTCAATATTTACTATTTTATATGTCTCAATTTATGTGGCACAAATATAATTAAGAAAGTCCAAATTGTAATGTGACTTCTAAATATTTTACTAAATACATGATTTTTTAAATAATATATGTTAATTCTCACTATCTCAATTTATGTGGTATTAATTTTTTTTA